ACCCACCAGGCGGCCGAGGTTTGTTCGAAAGGCCCCGGCTCAGTCGGCCTCTTCTTTCAAAGGGGAAGACAGTGGGATCCTTGGCTTTCAGCTGACATACGCATAAACACAGGAAGCGCGGAGATAAACCGTCCGCGCATCGGAACAGAAAGCTTCCTGCAGAATGACGGGGATGCAGACCGAAATGATATCTGTTTACGAGCAGAGCGTTGTCACGTAAGGAAGAATATGAGAAGATACGCAGGTTCTGCTCACGTCGCGCTGGCGTACCTGGGCCTACAGCTCATCCCTGAGATTTAAGATGTTTTAGAATCGAGGGGCGCCTGGAGAACACCCGTACCAAAAATGGGGATTAACCCACAAGAGCGGAAGAGGGAACAGGGGTTTAAGGCTTCTGGAGAAACCAGGAGACCAGATCATGCCTTCTAATGGGCCGGTTTTGGCCCCAGGGAGTCACAGCTCCCGACGCCTCTTGAACCAGTTTGGTGCTTTTAAGCAGAAGGCCATCTTTTGGAGACAAAGGCCACCCAGCCACCCTCTCCCAGGCCCTGGCAGAAAAAGCCTTTCTTCTCCCTTGGAGGCTGGCCCTGGGTGCGATTAAGCGCCTGCCGTTCCTGTAAGGGACGCTGGCCTCCCACCCAGAGTCGCTTAAACCCCTCTGTAATCCACATTGTGTGCCATATGCCAGGGAGCTTCTGAGTCTTAAATTATGGTCGGCAAAGCTGATTGTCTGGCATAAATAGATCTGTGGGCGGAGGATGGAGGAGGTCATGGGGGGGAGGTAGGGTTTTTTAAAAAGTACTCCCCCCCTCCCCGCACGCTCACAATACTGGGCGGTCGCTGTGACACACAAGAGCGTTGGGGCGGCAGAAGCGTGACCAGACTTATTTTTAAACGTGAAAGTCCTAGCAGCTGTAGAGACTCCGCTGTTTTGTAGCTGGCAGCAGCCTTAAGGAAATTCTAATTTCTGCCCCACAACCCCAACCATCTCCTTTTCTGGGTTTAAAATAAGAAAAGAGGGAGCAGGAACTCTTGATTTCAGGCACTTTTTGGTTTGTTTTAAAAGAATCCCCGGTCCGAGCCCAGGGTGGGGAAAAAAAATCCTGCTTTTGAAATCTGTGTCCTCTTCTTCTCAACCCCACTTGGTATTCTGGGCAACAAACACGGAACAGACTTTTCGCCGAGCCGAGTCCACCAAAACTGCCTGTGATGGGTTTCTTTCCTTCATCAGCCAAACGAACAGCCTTGTTTCTGTAGAAACCTGTCCCGCTCAGAGGATCCTGGAAATGCCGGGGGAGGGGTGTTCTTCTGCACGGGGCCACTCAATTTTGGACCTCCTCTTTCAGAGAGAGGGTGGAAATCCTAATGAAAGCTAGGGAAAAGGTTATTCTTTAAGATGTGGGCATTTTTTAAAAACTAGACCGCCGCTCTAGTTTCCCATGCAAGGAAAATGACGCTCAAGGTGTTGAAGCAAAGGCTTAGATGGAACGAGAGACGCCTGATGTTCAAGCTGGATTTTGAAAAGAGGCACGGGAGACCATATTGCAAATCTCCGCAGTGTGCTGAAGATATCAGAGGATGGGTCTACACTTACAGACAACAGCAGAGCCTTCGATGTCTGGGGCATGAGAAACTAAGTGTTGTTGTGAAAGAAACAAGTGTGGCTCAGCATTCAACTGTGCTGATGCAGAATCTGTATCATGGACAGGAAGCAACTGTTACAATAGAACAGGGAGAGAGGGAGAGAATCGTTTCCTATAGTCAGAGGTGTCACATAAGGGTGCATTTTATCCCCTTATCTTTACAACCCATACGCAGAATGTATCATACGGAAAGCCAAACTAGATTCAGAGGAAGGAGGTGTGAAAACTGGCGGAAGAAATATCAGTAGCCTAAGATACACAGATGACACTCTTACCGGCAGAAGTCAGCAATGACTTGAAATGCCTGTTAGGGAAAGTGAAAGGAGGAGGTGCCAAAACAGGGCTGCAGGTGAAAATTGAGACGACAAGACTCATGACTGTGCAGCTTTATTACTGGTAGTAAAGAAACTGAGTGTGTATCATCAATCCAAATCATAAATCCCAAGGGGAACTGACAGCCAAGAAATCAGAAGAGACTCAGCAGGCAAGCAAGGAAAAAAAAAAACTAGAAAAGATCCTCACGTGTAAGGATGTGTCACTGAAGACCAAGGCCGAGATCATCTTCATTCTTGTATTTCTGATCACCCTGTGTGGGTGTGAAAGTTGGACAGTAAAAAAAAGCTGACGGGGGGTATGATTCGTCTCAAATGTGGTATTGGGAGAGAGCTTTGTGGGTATGGTGGATGGCCAGAAAGAGGAACAAGTGGGTCCCGGAGCAAATCAGGCCTGAACTGGAGAGAAAAATGTTGATGTTGAGGCTGTCCTACACCATGAGAAGGCAGGATTATCTGGGGGGAAAAGGCCATCATGCTGGGAAAGGTGGAAAGCAGTGGGAAAATAGGAAGACCCCCAATGTGAGATGGACAGACTCCCTAAAGGAAGCCACAGGTTTGAGTGTATGCAAGAGCTCAGCAGGGTTGTTCATGAGAGGACATGTCGGATATTGCTCATCCGTTAAGGCGGAAGCTATGTGGAGGGTACAGAACAGTGGCAGCAGGAACACAGAGAGGGGGGCCGTGCACTGTGTGTGGCACATTGTTCATTGTGGCACTAAGGCCACATCCCTCGGAGCCCACTGTTTCAGAGGCACCGAGTGAAAAGATCCCGAAAGCTGTTGTCGAAAGAGCTCCTTCCCCCACCGTGCGGAAGGATGGAGCCTCAAGAGACCGGCACAGTCTTTCTTGGCTTGTAGTTTCTTGGCTGATGGAAGCCACAAGAAGGTTCTCGCTCCTGAACGGGGGGGGCGGGGGTGGGGGGTGCCGCTCCAGAGCTGGCCAGTCTCACCACCACCACCACCACCACCAGCCAAGTGGACAAGGCTCGAATCTAGAGCGGCCAGAGGGAGAACTTGGCTGGCCGCCGGCCTTCCTCCGGGTTACTCACACTTTCTCCACGGAGAAACCGGAGCGCTGGAAGGCCTCACCTCCCGACAAAACCAGGCTGGCATCCAGGAAGGTAATTATTCACGCTGGGACTCAATCTCTTGCAAAGGCCAACTCTTCATGAAACTGGCTTGCCAGTCCATGGACTGGTGAAAGGGGAAACTTCTACGTGCCACAGCAAGCCTGGTGACCGAGATAGATAGAGAGAGAGAGAGAGAGAGAGACAGTCTTGGGAAACCAGCTGGACACGCAGCAGCGAAAGTTTACAGCATCCATGTCGTCTAAAGGGCGAATGTTTTCCCCTCTCTGCTGCCTTTGTTGCAAGCCACTCCGAGGGAACTCATGACACACAACGTCGGTAGCGAGGCCAGCCAGGACTCCCACAGACTGATCTGCTGCGGAGCGGAGATTCGAACCCACGTCCCCACGTCCGTGGTTCTGATCCAACCCCTTACAGTTTTCCTACTGCACGGTGGTTGTCTGCTCAGGTTTGTCAACCAAAGCCAGCAGACTCAGATTTGGTTCGATGGGGAGGAAAAAAGCAAATTGTGTCCCCTTCGGGCTGGAACCTCTGAGGCTCCCCGGTAGGGCTCCCCCCAACCCACCCCAAAAAGCGAAGGAACAGGAGCAGAGCAGCGACACCCTGAAGGGAGAGAGAGAGAAAAGGGCCCTCTGGGTGCCGAAAGGCAGGCGGATCCCTCTTGCTGCCAGCCTTCGGGGGGCCCTCCGTGCCAAGTTCCAAAATAAAGCTGGAGATCTGGAGCGGGGCCAAAACGGGTGACTCAAGCCTTTGAAATCCACCTCAAGAGGAGCTGGGAAAAGACGCCTGATCCTCACCCGCCTTCCTTTGAACTGGAGTCACCGGGGAAAAAAATTCCCCATGTCCCACTCCCTCTAGAACTTGGGAAGCAAACAGACGGAAGTGGCTTAGAGTTCCTTCACCTTTCCCTTCCAGGAATCTCTTGCTCTCAGGACTCGTCCTCTTTTAATCCGTCTTTCGGATAGATCCGCGCAGCGTTCCTTCTCCCAGACCACAGTGTTCTGGCGACGTCTCTTCGTGAGTTTTTCTTGACAGGAGCTCAACCCTGTGCATGAGGCGTCCAAGCGAGAGGTTGCGGTTACAGCGTGGGAACCGAGTCTCGGGAAATCCATGTGTGTGTTTTTTTTGGGGGGGGGGTGGGTGTCGTGAAACCATAATAATCACGGTGGACCTAGGGCAGATTGTGGGTGTCGTAAGCCTGGCAAAACCAATCCACACCCTGCCTGGTCCCTACGTTAGCTGCTTTTTCTTCAAAAAGGTGGGATATAATAACCACAATAGGTTAAAGCTTACAGAGTCTCGGGAAATCCATGTGTGTGTTTTTTTTGGGGGGGGGGTGGGTGTCGTGAAACCATAATAATCACGGTGGACCTAGGGCAGATTGTGGGTGTCGTAAGCCTGGCAAAACCAATCCACACCCTGCCTGGTCCCTACGTTAGCTGCTTTTTCTTCAAAAAGGTGGGATATAATAACCACAATAGGTTAAAGCTTACATCTGTTATATTTTTTTCAGGAAAGAAAACACAATGACATCAGAAAGGAATATGGTCTCACAGGCAGCCCACTTCAGGGTCCACCTTAACAACAAAGAGGGACACAGTCTGGAAGTCATTAGTCAGATTTTTATTGTTATTCTCCTCCATATCTTATAATTGCAGAGCTGAAAGGGACCCTCGAGATCATCCAGTCCAGCCCTGTCAAAGAGGCACCGTTGGGGATTCGAACTCCCAACCTCGGGCCCTGCAGCCAGAAAGCAAAACCCCTGAGCTGTCCAGCAGTTATTTTTTTATTTATAAACACATACCTTGAAGGAAGGACCGATATCTCAACCTTTTGTGCTTCCTGCTTGTCCCGGCTGCCTTCTTTTCTCCGTATCGCCCCCTGGCGGAGACACTGCCCGGTTTCAGCCCCCTGCCTTTCCTCTTTCTCCTCCAGGATGGGGCTGCCGTTGACGGAGTGGTTATGGCGGGCCAAATACTGGCTCCCTCCGGGGATCACCTGGGAAGACATGAAGGAGACGGAGGAGATCCGGTACCCACAACCCCACCACCTGCTCCTCGGCGTCCCGCTCGCTCTGCTGCTGGTCGCGATCCGCCTCGTCTTTGAAAGGTGAGCCGAATGGAGAGTCGCCTGAGGAGGGCTGGCTGGCTGGTGGTACCGGGGTCGAGGGCAAGCCAGGGGGGGGGCCTTAAGCCATGATTTTTTTAAAATGTAATTTCTATTCCTTAATGATCCCTCCATCTTCCCAACACACCTTAACGAGGCATGGAGTCTCACCCTGAGCTACAGAAACATAAGCCATTAAAACACACGTGCCAAAAAAAAAATGGGGCTTGTCCCTGCTCGTTCGGAAGCCCAGTTTCTCCTCGCCCGAACGCCACGTGGGGTGGCCACGAGCAAAACACAGGTGTGGTGTTATTGAGAAAGCTCTGCCTCGCAGGAAGGTTGCTGTACCCCTGAGCGAGAGGATGGGACTGCGGGAGAAGGTCCGACGGAAACCAGCACCCAACCCGGTCCTGGAAGCGTTTTACGTCACGCGCAAGAAGCCCCCGAAAGAGGTGAGGCCTCTCGCCCACGCTCTGGGTGTGGGCTGATGACAGGGCCCATCATCCCCAGTAGAGCACCTGGTGGTTTAGGAAACATTACCTGTTGGGGAACGACTTCCCCCCTGCATTCCTCAGCCAGCAGTGCATGGGGGGATGATGGGCACTGTAGTCACACCCAGACAACTCCTGGAGCCATCCTGGAAATTAAATCTCACTTTTCTAGGTTGTGACATTATATATGTATATCTGGGTGACAGATATTTCCACCTACTTAATAATAATCATCTTAGAACTGTAGAATAGGAAGGGTCCCTCTCTAGATCATCCAGGCCACCCCCTTATCTAGGAGGTGCATAGTGGGTGGATTTGGTCTCCCCACCTCTGGCTGTGCAGCCAGAGACCTCCTACCCCTGAGCTATTCAGCCATTGTTGTTTTTTGAAACATGTCAGAATAAGCTTGGTCATCCTAACAGCCCCCTCTCTTCATCCCCCCTTGACAGGGGAGCTGAAACACTATTTAGCTATCGGCTTATTGTTTTGCCTCTCTCTCATGGCAGAGATGGGTTATGGGTTCTTCTTCTTCTTCTTCTTCAAGAAAAGCAGCTTTTTAAAGGAGTGTCTGTGACAACCCCCCCCCCCAATTTGACTCCCATGTGACAGATGGAGACAACAGAGGGATTAAACTTCTCCATCCGGAAAAGCCCTGTTTTTTTTTTGTGTGTGTGTTTTTTAAATCTCAGGGTTTTATTTGATTTTAGTTTTGATGCTGGGGGGGCAGGAGAAGGAAGAGAGTCGGCGTCTTCTCACCCGAGATCCGCTTCCTTTCCCCCCCGCAGAGCGAACTGGGCAGCTTAGCCAAGCGCTGTGATCTCCACCCTCGGCAGGTGGAGCGGTGGTTTCGATGCCGGCGCAACTCGAACCGTCCAACGTTAACCAAGAAGTTCTGCGAAGCCTGGTGAGCACGGACAGGATGGGGGCCACACGTGGCTTTTAGCTAGGACCTTGGGGGGGGGGTCCCAGGAGGGCCTGGAAAAGCCTTGGCCGAGAAACAGCGCGGGGCTTTCCCTAGCCCGATAGATACGCCGCGCTGGCTCTGATTTTTCAAAAGAAGCCCCCCAGGGGTCAGGGACAACCAATTGATGGGAATGCTTTCATCTCCTGGGTACATTTTTTGGCCTGTTTCAAAAGAAAATGCAGAAACTCACAAAAGGCAAAATCCCAGGGACGTTATTTACAGCTATTAAAAAAAAACACACACACACACCTTGCGTTAAGATTTCGGCCCACGTGAATTCTGCTCTAAAAGGTGACTTTGCAGCACTAAAACATCCTGTCTCCCTGGATTTAGAAAACAAAACAACCCAAAAGGTTTGGGAATCAGGCATTAGCATTGCAAGGAGCAAAACTGGGAGTTCACGGTTTTGACCCAGCCACGGGTAAAAGATCCGCCGGCCAAAAGCCGATGCGTGTGTCACGCGTGATTGGCCTCACTCACCGCAGCAGATTAACAAGGTGCCAGGGCTCAGTCCCCTGCCCGGCCGCGTGCCCGGCCGCACGGTCAAAATGCCCCCTCCAGATGTGTGGGTCCCCCAGCTGCAACTTAGCTACAGCCAGTGGCTGCCAACTGTAGGAGGCTGCTGGCCAGCGCATCGCTCGTGAAACCCGACCATCCAGCAGCGAGGAATGGGATTAATGTACTTTTCCAAAGTACTGTAACTTCCCAATTTACGTTCTTCGCATAGAGCCAAAAATTCTTTAGAAGAGAAATCTGGAAAGGGAAAATCGGAGGGTTTCCCCCGTTGTTGCCCCAATACCTTAACATTACTGTACAGGGTTTCCCCTGCCCGCCCCTCACCTCTCTATCGTTTTCCAGCTGGAGGTCAACATTTTACTTCACTTCATTTACCACTGGGTTGGCTGTCCTCTATGATGTGAGTATCGGATCTCCTTCTCATTCCTGCATTACAATTTCTTCCTTTCTAACATGCCTCCCCTTGAACTCCAAAGGGGTGCCTGGGGGTCTTTTCTGGCTCATTTCCCTTCTTACGACAGCCCTGTGAGGGAAACCAGGGGGAGAGAGCAGAACTGTCCCGAGATTTCTCTCCCTCCCCCCCCGTGAGTTTTGACGGCCAAGTGAGGATTTGAACCCAGATCTCTTGAATTCACCCTAACCACTATGTCACACTGGCCTAGCGCTCCTGCTGATCAGCGCTAGGGGCACATGGGGCAGGTATTCCCGCTGTGTGATCTTCCAATTTGTGATCAGGCTGATTAAGAATTGGAGGGGGGGAACAGGAAGGAAAAACAGCATCATCACTCTCTGGGCTTCTCCTTAGATGTCCCACTTGGGTTTATTTTACAGTACACACAGGTTAAAGAGCTAAAAGTTCATGTTTCGAGGTTTCTTTTTGCCAAAGGCCAGCGTTACGGCGTGAATGAGGGACCACTTATTTTTCATTTTTTTTTCCTTGCAGAAGCCCTGGTTTTGGGACCACCGCGAGTGCTGGGTTGGCTACCCGCAGCAGGTAAGGGGCCTCGGAACCTCGCCAAAGGCAGCCGGTGGAAAGATGCCCCCCTGGCACACCTGTAAACGTGTGCGTGGCCTAGCCAGCGCGAGTGCCCTGCTAAAACTCACATTGCGAAGGCAAACAAGTCTCCAGAGACCTGAAAGCTTTGGAGTGACATGTATTTATTCATTTTTTTATAACTTGTTTATGGCACAGCTGGGCCATCTCATCTTCCCCCAGAGGTGGGAAGGGTGGGCAACTCCAGAAGTTCTCCAGACTACAGCTCCTGTCAGTCCCAGCTGGCCCGGTCAGGGGATGAGGGGTTACGTGAGCCAGAAGGCAACCTCCTTCCCCTCTTCATCCTCTCCGTCCTCCTCCTCTGCCACCACCCCTGGGCGAAGGTAAAGCACTTCTCTCTTCCTCGTCTTTCAGCCGCTCCTGCCGTCCATCTTTGGCTACTACATGCTGCAGCTGTCGTTCTACTGCTCCTTGGTCCTCACCCTCCCATTCGACATCAAGCGGAAGGTATTTCCTACACTCTTTTGCCTCCCGACTTTCTTCCGCCACCCCCAAACACACAAATGGCTCCCTTTCCTCCGCACTTTACTTCCACGGCTACCCTGCGAGGTTGGCGCAGGCAGATTTTAAAAAAGGGTTGGGCACTCCCCTTTCTTGGGGCAGAGGGAGCTTTAGCTCGGATTCCCAGTTTCGCCGTGGGGTGGGGTGGGGTAGGGCCACAAACTGACCCCCAAATCCATTGCTCTGCGATGCTGTAAACCCAACTTGGTCATTTTCCAAACTCCTGGGGTTTTTTTTCTGTCTTTGGTGGGACAGAAACTCCTGTCAGCTTCCCCATCCCATCTGAGGACACAGGTGGGAGACAATTGAAGAGACAACCCCGGCCCTGTTTTGGGCCAATTGTGGGCCTGTGTTCCCGGGGATTCCACTGGGGTCTCTCTTTCCCTTTTCCCACCCCCAGGACTTCCACGAGCAAGTGGTCCACCACGCCGCCACCCTCTTCCTGATCAGCTTCTCGTACTGTGCCAACTACATCCGGATCGGCACCTTAGTCATGATCATTCACGATATCTCAGATTGTTTCCTAGAGGTAAGCGCCGCGGCTCGGATAAGGATTTTTTTTTAAAAAAGGGATGTGCCAGTTAGAGAGAGAGGTACGAAGCCATGTCTTTCTCTCCATCCCCCCCACCAGTGAATTAATCTCGCCCCCTTTTTAAAAGTAATTAACTCTGTGTTGTGAGGCCAGAGCTTTTTCGGGGTCCTGTCCCCACACAGGGGCTCTTGACTACAGCACCCATTGTCTCCCCTGCCCCCTTTGTGCTGGTTGGTGACGGTGAGCACTGTAGCCACCGATAGGATACCAGTTTGATTGATCATTTTTATGGATTTGCCGTGTCCTCTACTTGCTAAGGCTCCCAAAACAATGTAGAATGGATAAAAACGTCCCCGGGAAACAGGCCACAAAAATGCTCTCACCAAAGCGTCCAGAAGCAGAGAGCCAATCAGAGGCTTTGGGGAAGTCTGGGAGCAAAGCATGATGGGAATATCTTACACAGGTTAAGCGATCAGGGGGACGTCCTTGTCTCTCTTACGTGTCTTCCCTGTTTAAATCGCTTTTGCTTAATTCCTTCTGCAGCCCACAAAAATCTTCAATTACCTGAAATGGCGCCGGACGTGCAACACCCTTTTCCTCACTTTCTCTGCCGTTTTTCTCTTCACCCGCCTTGTGATTTTCCCCTACAAGTAAGTAAACAGTTTGGGAATTGACATGTTAGTGTATTTTTTTTTCACTTAAAAAAATAATCTCATTCAATCAGCTTGATTTTCCACGGCTTCGCTTCCTGTAGGAATGATGGGAACACTTGGGTATTTTTACCGATGGAGCACAGCCGAGGTTCGGATTCGGCACTCAATGTCCGTTGATAAAAGGGGAATATTCTGGGAATCGGTGCCGGAAAGACAGATAACAAACTCCAGGGGAGACAGAATGAATGGGGGGGGGGGAAGGGAGGTAACAGATCCATTAAGACACAAACCAAGGGATAGAGAGAGGACAAACAGATGGAAAAAGCAGGTGAGATCAGAGAGAGGCCCCAAGCAGAGGTGAGGAGGAGCTGAACGCCCTGTGGTTTTTCAGTTTGCTACAGTCTCAAAACCTGGGAAATGCTCTAAAAGCTATGTTGGAAAAATAACCAGGAAAAGTGGCCCGTTCCCCAGGAAACAGAACTTTGATTCTTCCGGGATCCTAACTGTGTTACTTGGCGGAAAAGTCAGTAACCACCGGTTACAAAGTTTTCATCTCCTGCAAATCCCAAGCTTTGGTTCGTCAAGGCCACCCTTCAGGTTGAACTCCGTTTTAATTCTTCCGCTTCCTGCCAGGGTTCTCTACAACACCTATTACTACTCCATGGAGATCTTCCAGCCGTTCTTCGGATACTATTTCATGAACGCCCTCCTGATGATCTTACAACTCCTCCACCTCTTCTGGTCCTTCCTGATTGTTCACATGGTTTACAGGTTCTCCATTGCTGGCACGGTAGGCAACATTTTTTAAAAAAAAAAAGAGCAGGGAAGATGTTGCTCTCCGAGCAGATTTGGGCCAAGCTTGGAAACCTTTATGGGAGACTACAAATCCCCAAATCCTCCATTTCCCTGCTTTCCCTCCCCCACCCCATATCACTTTCCTGTTTCTCTCACCTACCAAGGATCCCCGTTTTTAAGACCCCCACTCAAACACCGTTGTCCCTTCCAAAGGAATCATGGGGTTTGTAGTCAGGAGAAGGGTTAGGGATTCTCTCTCCCATTTCCGGGAAGCACTAGGGAGTTTTCCCGGTGGAGAATCCCAGCTCATTACTCAAAATCTACATTCCAGGGATTTTTCAGGATGGAACCGAGCAGTTCAAATTATGCTCTCTGCATAATTGGTTTTAGAGATTTGAGAGAAACAGGAACTCGGGATCACAAGGATCTGGTCCCCGCCAAGCCATGCACAGCTTTGGACTCACTATTTATTCCTTTTTTTGTCCTTCTGTTCTCTCCACCTGGCCTACCTTGCTGGGCTGTTTTGTGAGGAAATTAGGGTTGACAAGAGGCAGGTTAACCCTGCCTTGAGCTCACTAAAGGAAAAGGGGAAGCAAACATGAACTGGGATGACCATAATAAAGCCAAAGGACCAAAGTCGGGAGCTGGTTGATCCACGCCTGGGTTCTCTCTCCTTGCAGATGGAAAAGGATCTGAGGAGCGACTCGGACGAAAGTGAGAAGGCCGAGGACGGAGCAGGGCCTGAGAAGGACGCCAAGAGGAACGGGAACCTCCACGCTGAGCCCAACCACAACGGGAACTGCATCTCAAAAGAGACCCCTTTGCAGCTGAATGGGGCCAGTAGGCACGCCAAAACCAGATAACCCCCCAAGCCGGCACTGCTGACCGCCCGGCCTCTCCTTGACCGCTCAAGCTGCCCCCCCAAGCCTCATTTTGCCTTTGCTTCTGGTAGGCCTCAGAAGGGCGTAACCGTAGACTTTCTAGCTGACCCCTCTGCTTCCTGCAGGAAAACAGAACGAAGAAAAGAGGGGGAAATAACCCACGTAGGAGGATAGGGCTTTGATTTTCCATTATCGTATCATCGTGGTCAGTTTTTAGAGTCTCAAGGTTGGGGTTTTAAAAAAGGGGGTTTAAGGGATCGTGTGGAACAAAAAACAGCCTCACCGGTGACCATCAGCTGGTCCTGGGTGCAACGCGGTGAGGCTGTTAGTTAAGAGGCATAAAACGCTCCCTCCAAAGGTCCCCAGCCGGATCCTGGAGCTATCCGTCGGCTCCTGCCGGCGTTCTGGAAGCTGGCGCTGAAGCCACGTGCGCGATCCGGGCTCGCGGACCTGGGAGGAAAAAAAAGGGAGAGTTTAACAAAACTAAATGAAGCATTCAATCCAGGGAAGAAACGGAGGTGGGAGCTGGGAGGCGGTGACGCTGTCGCGGGCAGCCGAGTCTCTGGGCGTGAGAGGGACAAGAGTGGTGTCCGAGGGACAGAAGGGTGTGCTCTTGTGATTTTTGTTTGGGGGGGGAGGCATGGAGGGTTGAGGTTGAGAGGAAAGAAGGAGGGAGTCGAAGGGCCCTGAAGAGGCTGGTGGTGGAACCATTTGTCCGAAGGATCACGGCAAGTTGAGAGAGAGAGACAGAGAGGATTTTTTTCTGCATGGGAGGCTGCAGGAGGAGACAAGGAAGCAGATGGAGAAAACCAAGGTTTCCGCTTCTTTATTGGCACCCCTAAGAATAGGGCGCTACCGTTTGAGACTTGGGGGCCGCCCGCCCCCTCCCCAAGGGGAAAGAGGGGAGGTTCCAGACCCTTATATTATGATTTCCAGGACATCCCCATCGCCCCCCTCAAAGCCACGGGGAATCAGGGTGGGTGGGTGATGTGTCTCCTCCTGGCTGCAATTTCTTCCCGCAGCTGCTCGGCTCCACCGCCCGGTGGCATAGACACCGCCTCACTCGACTGCTGGAACCAATAATAAACTAATTCTAGGAAACAGACCTCGGGCGTCAGCGTCTCTCTTTGCTTCCGCTCAGACTTACTGGAGGGTTGTTGTTTTTTCCCCTTCCTCAACAGAATGAGAAGGTGGGTCTTCAACTTTTCCTGGTTAACAGGCTGGTACTGAGAAAGGTCCTCTGTACATGCTCAGAGAGGCTCTAGATCAGTGATGGTGAACCTTTTTGAGCCCAAGTGCCCGAAATGCAACACAAAATCAACTTACTTATTTCAAAGTACCAATACTGCAATTAAAATCCAAATGCTGAGGTTTTAGTTTAGAAAAAAAAACCTGTTCCTGCACTACAAGGGTTAAATGCTTGTGTTTTTCCCCCCTATGGGCGATATTAACAAATAAATACCTACTGGTCCTCGAATCCCCCATTGGGCTAGACTGGTAATGGTCACCATTGCATCCCTCCACTAGACCACTGCACTAGCAGAGGGGAGTGCCGAAATCCAGGATCGGAGGATGGGTAAGTATTTCTCTATGACGACTTAGGGCTCATGTGCCCTCAGAGAGGGCTCTGTGTGCCAGCTGTGGCACGCATGCCACAGGTTCGCCATCACTGCTCTAGATCGTTCCCATGAATTCGGGCTAAGATCGGTCAAGTCCCTTTAAGTTCAGGAGGACCACTTAGACCAGCGGGTTTTGATGGGTGATGGCAGCCAAACAGAGCCCAGGAAAAGTGGTGTTTTTTTGGGGGGGGGTCTGTTTCCCCCAGAATCCATTAGGGGGAGCTATTGTTTTTCCTAAAATTGACCACTAGGGGGAGCTCTCCCCCCCCCAAATTGGCCACTAGGGGGAGCACTTGCTTTCCCTAAAATTGGACACTAGGGGGAGCTGTTTCCCCCTAAAATTGGCCACTAGGGGGAGCTCTTGCTTTCCCTAAAATTGACCACTGGGGGAGCTACTGCTTTCCCTAAAATTGACCACTGGGGTGCTCAGATCCAGTTGGACTACATGTCCCATAGTTCCTCACCACCACCTACCCTGCCTGCTGAGCACTGCAATCCAACCCCATCTGTCTGGCAGGGGTAGATGCTGCCACATGTAGTGGGGGGGGGGAGAAAAGAAGACAAGGGCTGTTTCCCAGGACGTCTTTGTTCAGCAGTGGCAGAACAGGAGGCAGAGAAGAGGAAGGCTGACTTCACCCTATCCCGGACCTGGGGAACTTACTGCCACATGATGGCCACCCATTTTCTTCTGTTTTGAAAGGGGATGGAAGAGATGAGGAGTGGGAGTGGAGAATGACCAAGGGATATTCTTACCTGCAGTTTTCCTCTGCAGGCTGGAAAAAAGCTCGGGAGCCTTAACTCTCATTCTTCTCTGGAGTCCTTCTTAGCTTTCCTGTAACCAAAAGAAAAGAAGAGATGAAAAACCGGTAAGGGAAGGAGGGCCCACATCCCAAATCCTTGAGAAGTTTCCAAAGAAAGTTGGGTTGGTTTTTTTTTGAGGGGGATGTGGTTGTGTGTGGGGGGGGGAACCCTATCCTGGAAAGGCATCTCTTTGAACCAATTGCCCTCCCCCCTCCACCAGGAAGAGTTATGGGGAAGGGGGTCTGGCCCTGCAGCCCCCCTCCCCGCCTGCTTAGAGAGGAGTGATTGGCTGGTTTGGAGGGGGTGGGTGGAGCCAGGGGGAGGGGGATCCCAGCGCCTGGGGGGGTAGATGGGTGGGTTTTTTGTGAGTAGGGGGATCCGTGTGTGGAAGTTCTGCAAATCAGCCCAAGTTGGAACTGGGTTTGCTTCCCTTTGGGAAAAGAGGTTCCCTGCCAGGAGGTAAACCAAAGCTAGGTTTGGGAGGGGGAGGATCGGGGCCCAGGATGTGACAAAGGGGGGTGTAAATCCCAAGTGGAGATTGGGAGGGGGAGAGCAGGGGAAGAAAAAAAATGGGGATCGGACCAGGGAGAGAAGGAAGTTGCCAGGAAGGACTGGAGGAAGCCTAGAGAGGTAAGGGGTGGGTGGATCGGGAAATCTGGGCGGTGGGTGAGTGAAGGAGGTCTAAAATGGGGGGGTCGCAGGGAAGGGAAAGCAAGTGGCCCCACGCTGGGCTGGAGGGAGGCTTAGGGGGCTGGGAGGGAGAGGCCCTGGCCGAGGGGGCTGAAGGAGGGAATGGGGAGGAATCAGATCTGGGGGTCCAGAGGTGAGCCGCCTCCCCCCCCCGTGTGGGGAATATAGGTTGAAAATCAGGAAAAGTGGGTAGGGGGAGAGCGATCAAGGAAGGGTTAATGGGAGAAGGGAACTGGAGGCAGCGTCTGGATGAGGCTCCACTCCAGTTCCCAGGATCCTGAAGGATGGGGAGGATGGGGAGGATGGGGAGTATGTCTGAACCCCCTCCCAGAAAAGAGGAACTGGTGAGGTTTAAAAGGTGGGGGGAGAGAAAGGATCAGGACGGCAGCACTCAGGAAGCTGGAAAGAGGCTTTCAAGTCTCATCCAAAGACAGAGGCAAACAACCCCCCCCCCCGGTTTGGAGGACTACCGCACCCAGCCTTCCCCACCCAGTCAACCTGTGTGAGGAGTGTGAGAGGGCTACAGTTTCCATAATCCTCCAGCTTGGAAAGGCAGAGGAGGAACCAGAGTCCCAAATAGCCAGTAGGGATCATGAGAAAGGGAGATGAAGGAGGGTTCCCATGAGGCCATCTAGAAGGCCCACACCAGCTTAACCACCATAACCCCGCCTATGCTTTCTCCTGCTGCCCCCGACCCCAATCCTTTCTCTTCTCCCCCTCCAGCTCCAGCTGCCATGTCATCGCCCGACGAGAGCCCGTCTGGCCTCCGTGGGCCCCCCGGCGACCTCCTGGGCCGGCTTCCCTGGGACATCGACCCCAGCCGCCTCTCCTTCTCCCCCTTCCTTGACCTGGACACCCAGATTTCCCTGGCCCCCATCTCTGACAGCCCCGAGTCGTCCCTTGAGGAGCTGCGCTCTGCCGAAGAGGAGGAGGACGAGGAGGAAAGGCAGAGCACGGGAGCGCTCTGGTCCAACGTCCCAGACCCTCTGAGTTTGGGCCACGCTGGCCGGTCCACGCCTCCTGGGAGACAGGAGCCCCTGGAGACACCAGAGGGGGCAGGCACCCCGACAGGAGAGGCCACGGTGTGCCAAGACAGGGGCCACCCCGCGGCTCTCACCCGAACGCCAAAAGGGACTTCCTTCCCGGACACGGCCCGCTGGCCACCGAGGCATCCTCTTCTGGCCACGGAAGAAAGCCAATCAGGCCCCTCTGATGTGGCCGATGCTCTCCACAAAGTCCATGTCTCCCTGGAGGTGGAGAGCGCTGATCCGGTCCCACGCCAGAGCCCAGGGGACCTCGGCCTCCTTCCCTGCGAGCCCGGGGGTCAAGGGTGCCGGGGCTGCTCCGCTGACCACATGAAAGCCATCGCCTCGGCCTTCGTGGCCTTCCTCTTCTCTCCATGGCTCCTCTATGGGCTGTATAACCTCCTGCCACCGCCTGCCTCGGTTGGCCTGGACATGGCCAGCCGGGTGGCCTTCGCTCTGCGCTGCCTCCTGGTTGCGGGGGTCCCGATCATGCTCGGTAAAAGAGCCAGGGGATGGCGGGAGCCAGGGAGAAAGACGGCTGAGGCCGCCACTGGCTGATCCTGGTGAATCGCAGCCAGAAACCTGAACCTTCTCTTTTAAAAATAAAAATTGAGTGTGTGATCTGTCACTAAATCTTTTGACCCCAACAAAGAGCAGAAGATGGTTCGCCATTTCCAAATGGCAGCCTCCGGTCTGTTATTGATGGAGGGGAGAGATAGGATTGTATTAAAACTTCCCTTTATCTGAGAAGCAAGAGAACTTAGGTTATCATTTCAAAATTTGTACATACCAACCACAGATCCTTAAAAGACCAGAAGTACTTTTGAGGCTAACCAAGATGATTCCAGTGCTGTGAAGTGCACCAAAAATAAAAATTAAAAAGAAAATCCATGTTCTCTTTCTTTATTCCTGTTTTTTCCCCCAGGCATCGCAATGAGGGCCGTCTCCATCCTCTGCTCGGACCGTCTTGGCCCGCTGGACGGCCGCGCCCGACCTGGCCTCCTCCACCACCTCTTTGTCCTTGGCTCCGTGGACCAGTTCCTGCTCTTCGTCCTGAACACGGTGGCCGCGGCGACCTTCCTCCCACAGGAGCACCTGCGCCTGGTCCCGATCCTGGTGGGGTTCTTTTCGGTTGGAAGGTGAGATAGGAGGAGGGCGGAAGTCAGACTCCGCCTTCGAGGCAGAGTGAGCGACAAAAATCTCAGGTTTCTTCTTGTGCCGAGAGATGATCTTGCGGGGGTGGGGTGGGCTGGGGGACCAATCCTGATGAGGTTGGCGACACCCGTGAGAAGGGGAAGCTCACACTTTCCCCCTCAGCCCCTCCCCTCTTTAAATTCTGTGCATTGGGTTGAAAAATGACAGATCGGGCTTTATGAGCACCTAAAACGACTCCCATTTTCCATTAACATCCTGCCTTTCACAAGGACGAGCTCTACGTAGCATCCCTTCCTCACAACCCTGTAAGGCGGGCTCCACGGACGTGACTGACCCAGGAAAGGAGATAAAAGAGGGGGGAGATCTGAATCCAGACCCAATTTTCTAAGCACTCCTTGGCTGTACAAATCCCGGACCCCCTTTTTTCCCATTCATGACACAGGTGCTGCTACTGGGCCAGCTTACACCTCTGCAGCGCTTACCGGGGCTTTGGATTCGTCCTCGCCTTCTTCCCGATGCTCTCCCTGACCGCCTACAATCTCTTCTGCCTCTACCAGCTAGGCCTGGGGTTCCTCTTCGGCCGTTTGGCCCCCGGAGGTCCCGCCTGCACCGCGCCTGCTCCGACCCCCCTCGGAGGAACGACGCCTGAGAGATGAGGGGGAACGTCGTCAGCTGGAAGACAAGGAACACCCTTAAAAATGGAACAAAAATAAACAGGCAGCCGTGTTCCTCTGGGGCAGCCAGAAAGACTCAAAAGAGCACCCGTGATTTCTCTGAATTAAACGCAATGGTTTGGCGGCACTCCAAAAACCAGTACATTGGACAAGCCTTCATGGCGTGCTGCTGTTCACCCAAATAAAACATGCTAGGCTTTCAAAGGCCACACACTAGACAAGACATAGATCATGTATTCTGCAGAGGTGCTCTTCTCATCAGAGCGCATGGCTGTCTTGGCACATGATTTTCCTCCCCCCCCACCACCTTCACAGCTTAAATTTGGCGTGCTTTCGGAAGAAATCATTGGAAGTTTATCCTGGGCTCAGGTCTGAACCCCTAAGCCACTTATTTCCAGGGTAACAGCCTTGGGAGGGCTGATTAAAGCAGAAGGGAAGGGTTAAAAGCTGAGCAGCCAAATCCCACCGAGTTCAACAGGGGCTCCTCGTCAGGAAGCCGCCAACAGGATTGTGGCGCCTATATTTCGCAAAAGGAGAATCCGCCAGCAAAGAAGGGATGGGGGGGGGAAATAACAGCTGAGGTCAAAAGTATTTATTCCCATCACAGTGAAAATAAAAAGATTTTCATTCAAGTATTCCAGGATGCCAGAGGTTGCCGTGCTCGCTCTGGGGGTCAGGGAGGAGGCTGTGGAAGTTCCTTCAAACTTTCCCCAGTTCCAACCGAGTGGAGGAGCTCCAAGCCGCCCGCTGCGGTCTCTTCTCCGGTGCCCGGCCCAGCCTGCTTCTTCCGCTTGGCCCAGCAGGACGTCCAGCGGCAGATTCCATAGACCAGGCAAGACAGGACTGGCAGGGACACTGTCAGCAGGGCCAGGAGGCGGGCAGATCCTCGGGCAACGTGCCCCCCGCGGGGCAGGTAGGCGTAAGATGGGTTCTGGGTACAGGAGCGGGCGGCCGGGTCAAAGGTGCTGAAAGGCGGGCAGGCGGTGCAGTCGGTGGGCGCTCCTCCCCGGCAGGTGTAGCAGGTAGGGGCACAGGGGGCGCAGACGCGGATGCTCCCGTTGGAGCCGAGGGGGCGCTGGGAGAGGCCGTAGGTGCGGGGAGGGCAATAGGAGAGGCAGAGACGCTGGAAAGCATAGAAGGGGCTGGTGCATTCTGCGGAGGAAGAGGAAAGGAGGGGGAAAATAGGGTTAGATTCATGTGGCACAAAAGTGGGCTCTATGCAGTCTAACATTCAATCCTTCTTCCACACGTCATTCCTCCATAAGATAAATAACCAGGAGAGTATCTCTCAGGGATGACCAAAACTCCTAAGAGTGTTTGTCTATTCAGTGCCCCGTTCCTAAATGGCTTTTGTTTCTTCGCTGCTGTGGCAAGGAGTTCCGCCGATCCTGACCCACCCACCCCCAAAACCCAACCCTGGTCTTCAAACTGCCTCCCCTCCCAGAAAAATGAAAATTTAAAGCCCCACGAGAAAAGTCACCTTGGCACATGCCATCGGCCGCTCGCCGGAGGCACTCGCCGGCCACCGAGGCCGGAAACCGCCTCGCCAAGAGGTCCTCTTCCGTTCCGTAGAGTTTCAGCACGAAACCGTCCAGGAAACCTTCGGGAGAGGCAGAGGGGGGTTGTTAAAAAATGCATTTCCAGCTCCCCCAGACCTGCAGAGGACAAGATGTGAGCCAGGCCAAAGGGATCCAGGGGACTCACCAGTGTTGTACGCGTCTCCCTTGTTCTCTAGCCGAAGGGTCCACGTGCCACGGGGATCCTCATCCCAGTAGTGCGTGGACATGAAGGACCACTGCTTGTAGCCCTGCCAGCTGGTGTCGTGAGGCCTAGTGGGCGAAGAAGAGAGAACGGCTTTTAGAACATGTAGAAAGGAGTGCTTCTGACCCCCTAAAACCCATCTCAAGGGGGCACCGAGGGAAGATGCTCTGCACGCCCTCAGGAACTCCTCTTTCTCTGGCCAAGGGATGAGGCAAGAGCCCCGCCAGACCTGACGGCCGCCAGGACGGAGGTGGTTCCCATCGGACTGGTCAGCGAGATGGACAGATCTCCCCGCCGGCTGTAGCGGAGAGAGAGCTGGGCCTGGACGTGCTCCAGAGAGCGGATGGCCTTGGTCCCACCCTGGCAGGCCGGGGTGACATTCTCGGAGATCACCAGCCGGGAACTGATCGCTCTGGCCAGAAGGAGAGAGACAGCAAGAGAGAGAGAGAGAAGCTGAACTAGGCAATACAATTAGCCCGTCACGAGAGGTGGCACACCTGTAAGATAGATATTTTTTTAAAAATCTATCACAGCCCATGTTTGCCCTCATTTTCCTGTTGAAAATTAGCATGATTTTGTTTTCTGGTTGATCGTAGTGGGTTAAATGCCAGCTCACAGAGCCTCTAAGGAAAGACACCACTGAAATACCTACGGTGTATTTTAAAAACCACTCTCCCTGTACAAATTCATTCCCATCTGTTTGTTTCAAAAATGTTTGCCAAACCCAATGTGCCTGGCGAGGATGTCTTCTGCCCTTTCCCTTCAAACATCAACAAAGACGGAAACCCGAATTTTTCTGGATGTTATTGCTGGGCCAGGACGCGCATGCCAAGTGGCTTGTGGATCAACTGAATTCTTACACGGGTTTGTAGACAATCCTGATGAGACATTTCCTCTGAGGCTGGGTGGTGTTCCACTTCTGGGCCAGATCCACCAGCTTGCCAGCGTCCAAGAGCCCGTACCCATAATAGTGGCTCACTGGGAGGACAAGGAAAACACATGAGGGCGTAACAGGGCTATAGGAACCCTGTTAGAAATCACAGATGATCTCCAAAGATATACACCGATTCCCGACCCACCCACACCCATAACCTGGTCCCCATCTGTGTCACTGCTATGGGGATCTGATGCAGGGCTTTCCGATCTTGCTGGACTCCATTTCCCATCAGCCCCAGGATGTAGGTTTGGGGTTCAGGACCCACAGGAATTCAATCCCCAAATCTATTCGGCATGCCCCAAAAATTCTCACTGAAACAGAGCACTGTTCCAGCAGCTGAGAAGGGAGCTAATACATCGGGGGTGGGTGGGGTGTCCATTTGTGACGCCGGACTCTGAAACTGAACATTCCCCCCCCCCTTCTCACCTTTGCGGCCGACTCCATTCATGGCCCAGTCATCAGCCTGGAGATGGGCTGGGCTGGAGGCTCTCACCACGAGATGCTGCATGTCCCGCCAGGTCAGGGCTGGGCTAAAAAAGGAAAGGCCAAGCCATGAGGTTAGGCAGCATCCGAAAACCTAGATGGGGGGGGGGAGAGGAAGACACAGCAGATGATGCCATCAACCTTGCAGTCCCAAACACAGCCCCCTGACACCCTTCAGTACGTTCTTCTTGACCTGCAGCCAGCTCTAGAAGGTGGTCGACTTATTCACGGACGAAACTGAGACAGGTGGAGAAAAGTCTTGATAATTATTTTATTTTATTTTATTGGGCATATGGGTCTAGTTAAGCAACACGGTTTGCTGTACCTTAGTTTTTTACTGTATTTCCTACACAGTGTTTTTCATTTATTTCTCTTGTTTAAAAAGTTTTCAGCCTTAGAAAGGACCCCCATTTGGATTGTGTGGTTTTACCACCTGGGAGATCCACTGCTCTCCTCTCACCCCGAGCGATCCCGGGGCTTACTTGGCTTCCAAAGCGAGGGCGATGATCCCGGCGGCCAGCGGGGCCGAGGCCGAAGTCCCTGTATGGCTGCTGGTGCAGGTCTGGCGCAGGTCCGTGGTCACCTGGAAGTGGAGAGAGAGGCATCCTTAACCTGTCCACCTAAAGCTGACCATCTCCGATCCCTCCGGGCCGAAATTATCTCCGCTGAAGCGGGTTTTAAATCGGATTGCTTTGCGCCTTTTCTGGAACTGTTTGCAGGATCGACTGTCAGGGTCCCCCAACCCCTACTCTGAATCCTTCCCCTGCCAGGGGGGTTCCCAATAGAGGCCCGGCCGACCCAAACTCAGAGGGGAGCGAAGGGCTCTCACGATCTGCTTCTCGTCTCTGGCCCCACTGCTGTAGGTCGTGGTGAGCGTGGAGGCACAAGGCTCGTTGTACCAGGGCACCCGCCCGCTCTCGGTGGTGCTGCCCACTGACAAGGTGTAGAGGCTGTTGGTGTAGCCGTCACAATTGCAGTTATCTTGCTGAAGACCCCCGTTGCCCGAAGCCCAGACGAAGAGCGAGCCCAGGCCTCCGCGACCCTGAAGGAGGGAAACCAAGGTCAGAGCCAGAGGCTGGCCCCCGTTCGTTCCATCACAGCCACCTTTTCCACCCTGCCTCCGTGCCCGACAAGGCCGTCCTGCTTTTCCCCCGAACAGACTCGAGGGGGCACTCCTGGCTTAGCTCTTCCCCGCATTTTGTCCACCCCAAGAGCCAGGCCGAGGAAGCACGGCCAGAAGGAGAAAGAAATTTTTAAAAAGATCTAGAAAGACCATGGGCGTGACTTTAACTGGTTCCCCTCAAAAACCAGTCCTTTCTCCTCAACCATGAGGACTAGAAATGTCATAATTCAGCCGCAGATCTCTGCCCACAGGGTGTACGTTTGACGTCTAGGGCCTACAGCCCGGAAGACGGGTCCCGCCACCTGCCAGGTTCAAACCCAGACCTGTTTCTATTTCATGACAGAGAGGGCAGAGGCGCTCGAGCGAGGGAGAGCCACGCTTACCCGGAGCACCCCCTGGCGGAAGGCCTCCGAGGCCAGGACACCGGGACCGTCCACTGTCTTCCCGTCATCCTCGGGGCCCCAGCTGGCGCTGTAGATGTCCACGTGTTGGGGACGGAAGCTCAGGGACTGGGCCTCAATGATGTCTGTCACGGTGCCATCCAACATTCTTAACCCTGCGAGAGAAAAAATAGAGCTTCCAGCCCAGAGGCAACCATCCGGTCCTTTTCCCGTTCGGATAGGAAACAGCTCTGCCCGTCTTTCTAAGGGGGCTTAGGGCGAACATCCAAATAAGTTTTTAAAATGACACACCCCACAAAACACACACCACCTAGGAAGAGTCAAAAGGGACCTCCAGAGAGCCACAGAGGGGTTTGGATGCATTTCTCTGCCCAGATCCATACTCTTTCTCCCCATTTCTGCAGCAGGATCTGGCCTTCACAGAAACGAAGTGCGGGCTTACCCCCAACCTTTGCTCCATAAGCGACGCCTGCCCCGCAAAATTCATTGTTGGCAACGGCCGCCACTTCGCCCGCGCACCGTGTCCCGTGCCTGGAAAGGAGGAGAGAAGGAGAGGCAGGAAGGTCTGGTCGTGTCTTGCTGCCTTCAAGGATCTGCTGCCCGAGGACACCCACTCACTCCACCCCACTGAAGGGACCGAGCCAAGTTTCCTGTAGGTCCAGAAGTCGGGGGGGGGGATGAGGTTTGGGTCAAAGCTTCAGAAGAAAGACACCCGCTTACCGGTTCTCATCCCAAGAGTTGTATCGTGGCTGAGGGTCTGAGTCGTTGTCGTTGAAGTCATAACTTGCCATGGGATCCTGAAATTAAAATAAAACATGGGGGTGAGCCACCAAGGTGCCTGTCCTCTAATCTGTTTCTAAATGTTCGTCCATTTAGTTTAACCCGGTCTAAATTTAATTATTAGTTGATTATGTTTGGTTATTTTTGAATGCTATTGTCAGTGTTGGGAGCTGCACAGAATGACCAATGGTCAGATGGGCGGTATAAAAATTAAATCAGCAGAAAAGGGCCCCCTGTTTAGTGTATTGTTATGGGAGACAAATTCACCCCTAGCGCTGCAAAAAGAAAGAAAAGAAAATTAAAAAGAAATAGTCTAAATTGAGATTGGGAACCTTAGGCCAGAGGGTCACATGCAGCCCTCTAGTGGACCAAATCCAGACTTCCTGGGTCCTCATGTTTCCCTTCTCCCACGAGGCTAGATCTTGGCGTCTTCTCAACTCTAATAAAACCTTGAAATGTCTCTCCTCAAACTTAGTTCCTAATGGGAAAAGTTTTAAACTAAAAGATCCCCGTCTTCTGCTCCCTTTTTCATTTCCTTCTGTTATTAGGAAAATGGATTTTGTTAGAAGTGACTGTCTCTTTGTGACGAGCTGCTTTATCTAGATTTTGAAGCTTGCCCTTAAAGCTTCCTAAACTGTTTCGTTTTTCACCTCTGGCAGGTTTTAAGCATCTGCTCCCAGGGAGCCCCGATTCGACTCACATAGTTCGCCTTGAGGTCTGGGTGGTCTTTCTCCAGCCCATCATCAAGGATGCTGAGCACCACCCCAGAGCCTGTGTACCCCTGGCTCCACGCGCTGAGAACGTTGAGATCCGGCAGCACATCATTGTTCTGAAACAGGAAGAAGAAGGAGCATTAGCTCATGGAGGAGAAGTTCGGAGGGATAAGAGAATCTCCTTCCCCCCCCCCATCACTCTCCTCATTTTGAGTTCCATGTCCCATCACTCACCATATACCACTGTTTGTGAAACCAGGGATCGGTGGGGACCACAGCTGCTCTCCTTTTGATTCGCCTCTTCACCGTCTGCTGTTCAAACCAGAGAATCTAATGCCGGGAAAGAACATGCCCATTTTTAGACGCGCCCGCATGGACTCCTCTTGCTTCGTTCCATCTAGCTTCCGCTCACAGCCAGCACCATCTCTCTCCAATAGGAAGTATCCTGCAGAGGGCATCTGGCCCCTCACTGGGAAATCTCCAAGCTTTATCCGCAATCCCACAAGCTGGGGCCAGACTAGATGACCTTGGGGGAACCCCTGACCCTCCTGTTCCAAAGAAGCTTACCCGATGCTCTTTTTTCAGATGGCGATGCCAACCCAAATGCGGGTGCAAAGACTTCTGTGCGATACCCCGGTGTTTCAGGTGGTAATACTGGGCTCCCTGGATCACCTGGAGGAAGGAAGCAGGTATGATTTTGGGGGGCCTCATCCCTTCACTGTGGGTCCAGTTTTACAACTCAAAGTAGAACTGAAATATAGGGAGGGACCTTGAGTCGGTCAGGAGCAGAGAGGAAAATCCCTCCATCAACCTTGAGCTTATGAAAGTTACTTCTTAAATGACACTTCCCTGATTCTGTCTTTCTATTCAAAGTGTTCCCTAGTTCAGCAATACCAGAACTGTTATTTCATTTAACGGAAAGGCCAGAAAACTGGTGTGACACCGGATTTCCACACTCCTCCGGGAGTCACTTTTCCAAGATCTGTAGGAAGCAACCGTCAGCCGCCTCCGGGCATGAGTCACCGTTCCGAGGTCGAGACGGGATGGCGCCAGAAAAGGGAGAACCTGGCAGGATCAGATCATTTACCGATATTTCAGTAATTAAATAAACCAATTTCTATCCGTCTTCACAACCTCTCCCCACTGGGTTTGGGACACCTTTGTTACTTTGAAATCCAGAGCTGGGTTTTCCACCTTTAAATTTAAACAAACAAACAAGGAGGGGGGAAATGAAGCAAAACCCAACACTCCATGTGGATCTCCCCCATTAGCCTCTGTTTTGTGGATTAGCTTTCAGGCCTCTTATGAGTGTGATCAATTTTTAATGCATACAGTTTGTTTATTTATTCAAGGGTTTCTCATGATTCAAAGTGCCTTGGCAAGGTTTCAGAATTGCTTGCGAAGAATGAATCTTTGGCAAAAAAAAAAAAAAGGAATAATATAGTAGTTCAGATTTGGAACATCATGTGAGTGGAGCACAGGTGAAACACATCCATTCCACCCATTAAGGTTCTGGTGGTTATCAAGAGGGGATGCATTAAAAATGCATCACCCTAATTGAACAGGATCCAACTAAAGCAAGGGTAGAGAAACCAAGGCCAGCCTGAGGACCAGATTTTATGTCAGGGAAGTTCTCAAAGGGCTTTGTTTCGGGCCTGAGAAAAGCAAAGGAAAAAGATGGAGGACCAATCAATCAATCAATCAATCAATCAATCAATCATCATCATCATATTTAACTGCTACACAAGAGTTTTGGCTAAAATATATATCCGTTATATAGTACCAGTCACTGTGTTTGGTATTTTATCATCAAAACCATCATCCTATCTGCATATTTTAATTTAAGCTGTGAACCTAGTGTAAGGAGATCTTTTCCAACCTGTTTAAAAGGGGGGGGGGAAGTATCAATAGCAGTCAGCTTTCACCCATCTGAGTCTCTTGCACTACACCTTGCATCCTCCCCCAGCCTGCCTGGAGAATGATGGGACTTGTTTTCCACCACACCCAGCTGCATTCATTGCATCCTGAAAGCTCTCATTCCAGGGTGGAACCTAAATATTCTAGATAAATTAAGAAATAGGGGAGATAATGCCAACAGGTAAAACAACGAGCAAGGGCCTCCACCTCCAGGAGAAGTGTATCTGAAGATACACCAAACCCAAAAGGAGACAGGCTGAGAAGAGGGGCTGAAACCCAACAGCAATGCCCAGCAAAAAGGAGACCCCTTTTGAACAACCCAAGCCACTCCAAGTCGCTGGTCAGGAGAAAAGCGGAGTATGAAATATTTTAAATAACGTGAAACCAGCCAAGCTGTCGGAGAATCCAACCCCTCCGGAACATGGCTTTCGCCTCGATGGAATTCCCGCTGGGATTTCGGATTTGGACTCCAGCCGGTTTGTCTCGCCCGACCCTCTGCAGAATGTTGGGGCGGCTGCTTTCCAAGGGCGCTCTGCACATGCCCAGGGGCCAGCTGGCCTTCAGAAAGAGACAAGCTGGCCCAGGTGGGCTTATTATTAAACCCCCCACGCCTTTAATATGGGGGAAGAGGAGGGGGGAGCCAGGTGAGGAGGCACCTGCCTGTCTGGCTGGGCGCAGAAGGGCCCCCCACCTCTCTCACCTGCCCCAGGTAAAGCAAGCCATGCTTGTGCGCCAGGCGCCTCGCCTCGCCAGGCCCGGCGGGGACGCGCACCGCCCAGCTGCTCAGGAAGACGCGCAATTCTGCGCGCCCGCGGGGGAACCCGCCCCCGAGGAGCAAGGCAAGAAGCATCCCGAGCCCCACCGGCCCCTTCATGATCCTCCCTCGCCGGCGGCGGCGGCGGCGCCCCCGGGGCTTTTATAAGCAGCCGCGGCCTAGCCCCCTCCCGCCGAGCCTGGGCCTCGAGTAGCTCCCCACGCCCGCCCTCCAGTGCCCCGCAGGCGGCTTCTCGCCTTGGCCAGGGGTTCGGAGGCGCCCCGTCGCCACGGCAACGAGAACCGCCGCCGCCGCCAGCGGGGACTACGAGGCCCAGGAGGCTGTGCGCGGGTGGGCCGGGAAAGGAGAACAGAAAGCTGCCGCAAGACCTCTTGGGAATTGTGGTTTTTGAACGACATAGGCGCGGAGAGCAATTACATGTTCACCACCTGGGCATGATGCTTTGTTTAATATGGAGTAAACCCGCAGGGTTTATTCGACAGCAGTTTGTGTAATTGTTTATGAGAAATAAACTCACGCTGTTTAAATAAAACACAGAGTCAATGTCGCTTTTTGGATTTGTTCCATTTCCCTCTTTACATGCAACACCTTTGCAGATTAATTTTTTAAAGACAGGCATGCATGCATAAAATTCTATTTATTTAATATATCTATACTTCACAAGGCCTGCAAGGAGCTTACAGTTGCGCACAGGGCTCCTGCCACCCTCTGTCCGCTTAGGAAGCGGTCAAAGGAGGCAAAAAGTCAGTTTCACGGCCACTGAGGAGACATTTGAACTCAGATCTCTGCAATGCTCATCTGGCTCTTTTAAATGCTGCGTTGCACTGACTCTTTTTTTAAAAAGCACAAACTATTTCAGTCTCAGTGTTCTGATGCAAATAATACTCTTTTTTTTTTAAAGAGCGGGGGGAGACATTGTCATCCTTTGGATGGCAGGTCCCAGCATCCCCAGTGTGCCTAGCCTTTACCCAAACTGCACTGTGAAAATATGACTTTCCTCTTGCCATTCTAGACAATATGGGTGTGTAGCCATAACCCTGAAGGCCTCTGCTCGTGTGCAGAAAAAAAATCCAATATTTGTGGAAATGCATGCATAAAAAGAAGCTACTTGGATGAGTAGTGAAACATTTCAACCTAATAAGAAAGAAGTTCAATTGCCATGACTCAACTTCCAGATACACTAACTGGAATTAAATGTAGTACTTTAAAATGATAGGTTAATATCATTTGATATTAAGTTGGTATTTGATACAAGTTTGTATAATGTTTTGGAATGATCCCTCCAATTTCATGCTGGTTGGTCTCTAGTACCAAAGGATGTTTAAATATCTTTCAGTTGCAATGTATCTGCTCAAAGTAGCACACTGTGACTTCTGAATGTCTTGTATAGTATCATTTATAATGGTTGTCTGTTGATGTTTGGCCCCATCCCGAGATGACGGAAGTGTTTGTTGTTGGAAAAAGTACTTATCACTGGCAGAACAGTAACTAATTTGATAAATACTGTAGGTATTATAAATTGAGCCCACAGAACCTGAAATCACATTTCTTTATAACTACCACCAATAGTTGCAAAATTCTTAATTTTGAAAGATTTGAGCTGTCTGCCTATTTTTATTTATTTTACTTGTATCTCATTTTCTTCAAGAACTGCAATGCAAGGCAGATTGCAACAGGATTAAAATGTATAGAAACAAAAGCTGGTCCAGATGGAAACAGACTAATGTACTAATGTTAAATCATTGTACATGATTTAACCGAGGTTGCTGCAGCCAAGTTGTAATTGAATGAAAAGGTCATTTAAAAACATATCAGTAAAAATGTACGCTTGAGCCTGTATATATGAGGGGAAAGTGCATACTTCTAAAAACATCTTAAATCCACTTTACTCTTTCATGCATTTGTGTTATTTTAAAAGTTTATTTTGGTGTGTTCTCTTATACAATTGTACACTTCCATATTGTTTGAGGTTCTGCTTTTGCTGAGATACAGGCAGCATTTATACAGGGAAATGAAAACTTGGATTTTGATTGATACTTTTCCATATTAACAAGACATATCACGAGATATGGAAGATGATGGCATTAGAAATGCTGAGGATGTGATGTGCATTTGCAGAATGCATCTCTGCTCTGTAGTTTGTATATTTTATTAGCACCAATAATATTACACTACTTATTAGCAGTGACCACTCATAAAGGTAGATCTTTCTGAACTTAGTTTCATGGGGAAATTGTGCAAAGGGCTTCTTGTTTATTTCATTGTTCTATTTTTTGACGTTTGATGTTTGATGTTGTGAGCCGCCCTGAGTAAACTTTTGTCTAGAAGGACGGGATATAAATCCAATAATAAATAATTAAATAAAATGGCAAAAAAGATGGAATAAAATGGCTAAGGAAACTTTGAACCCCTGATTGGAAAATTCAGGCCCCTTGGGCCTTCCTTATGCATCAAGATCATGGTCTTAAATTGAATTTAAACCCAGGTAAGATCAAACCCCCACGGGGGTTCGTGATTGCAATTAATACGTGTACTGTTTCCACCCTTGGCACTTAAAAGTTTCTCAGAGCCATAAATATTTCATCATCCCCATCCATTTGGCAAGTGTTTCCGCCTGTAATAACGTGTTTCCGCCTGCCACCCATCCCTTCTCTACAGTGTGATTTTGGCTGTGACTACAACCCCCATTACACTTGATCTTTGGCCGGGGAGGATGGGCAGGGTGGACTTTGCCTTCTAACCCATAGGCAGGCCAAGCTGGGTCACCCAGGGAGAAATCACCAAATCTCCCTTGTTTTTTAATTTAATTTTTTGCTGTGGTCCATCGGAGAACGCCACTTTCTCTAAGCTGGAGCGGGCGGGCAGGCAAACAAGGCTGGACCCGGGTTGCTGGGGGAATATGGGAGATGTAGTCCCTAAAAGCCACTTTTAGAGACTGCCAGCGCTTCGCTGCAGAATTAAAAAAAACAAACAAACAGGAGGAGGGAAGACGGGTGTTTCTTCCTTCTTTAAAAATACTGTATAAAAAAAAAATCTGAACGCTCATTTTCTGCCTTCCTACGATCGCTCCAATTAAAAACAGACCAACAAATAAAAATAAAAATCCGAACAACAGGGAAAAACAGAAACCTCGGGGAGCAAGCGACGGCATCATCACATTACCATTGTTGCGTCTTTAAAAGCTCCCCTCCAGCAAGTGGCGTCCGATTTGAACCAGAGACTGAAGGGGTGGTGGAGGGAAGAAAGCTCAGCCTCGATCTCTGCACATGCTCAGGAACCCGCCTGCCCTTGTCCAGGGGGAGAGGAACCCGCGTGGCCAGGCGCGCGCGCGCGCAAGCTTGCGCTCCCTCCTTGGGGCGCACACCTGTCCGCCACCATCCTCGCCACCTGTTGGCCCCTCCCCCTGACCCCATTGGCCAGGAGGGACAAAGGGGGCGGGGGCCTACCGGTATCGGGATCCTCCTCCTCCAACTCAGCCCCGCCTGCCGCCACCCGCGCCAGCGCTAAGCGGATCGAGAAAAGCGAAGCGGCCGCTGCGTCTTTGCGCTTCGCTTTGCTTCGTTTCGCTTCCCGGTGCCGCCATGGGCTCTGTCCAGCACCGGTTCCAGGCGTTTTTGGACCAGCCGGGCTGGCTCGGCGACCTCCTGGCGAGCCTAGAAGCCAAGACCGGCGTCCAGCGGTATTACCTGGCCACAGGTGAGCTCCTCTTCAAGGTCGGATGTCTCTCCTCCAGGGGGAGAGAAATGCTGAGTCTCTCTCTCTCTCTCTCTCTCTC